ATATATATATATATATATATATAAGGGTGGAAAAAGATATACCAGCGGCGGAAAACAGGTCGGCGGGGTTATTCGGTGAAACTTGTTCGGACTCCTTTCAACGTTATTTACACACATGGCGTATTACGCGGTGAAGTATGGGAACAAGAAAGAGTCCACATGGCCGAAGGCGAAATAAATTTTGCGGGTTCGCACTTGCGAAAATGGCGCATATGGCACATCGTGTAGACTTAATAAGTAGAAAACACTAACCAAAGGCATACAATAATGTTACAATTACCGCTTTAATTTTACAAGCATAGAAATGTTACCGAAATAACAGCAATTATTTTTGTTACCCTTTAAATTAGAGGAGGACGAATTATTAAAGCCATTAATCAGCCATTAAAAGCGTTCACAAATTTCTTTCTGTGTCAATAGGCTGGAAAGAATGATTTATTTTCGAAGGTACCTGGTACTCGAGCGAAGATTAATGACTGTATAATGAGACGAGTTACCGCAGCTATATTTGCCGCCGAATAAATTTCTCTATAATTAGACGCGCGTGCTACTTTTACAATTAGGTCAATTTAAGATTGATACACGCGTTTAACTGTGTAATTGTAGAGCGTCATAATACCGCCAACGTGTCAGCTATTTTTAAATGCTTACCATAAACGGAAACTTAATACGATATGTTATATAAATTACACCGTGTGTAAATTAGATCAGATTATACCCATCTGTATCGAGTTACACGAGTGGAGATCGTGTGTGCCGTGCTAATTCCTGTTTCTCATATACAAAAATACAAATAGCACATAGATGAGAAATCTAATCGTACATCCACAAATACATTCACCCGGTTCGTCTACATCGGTTCCAGGATCTGCATATATTTCATTATTATCAGCATTAAGAGCGCGCGGTGTAAAAGTTCACGGAATAAAACGTAAATGTCGCATTTATCATTTATCTCACATCTCAAGACCACTTGCCACGTCGTGGCAAGAAATAAGAAAAATTCGTACAAAACCTTTTACCGAGGTGATTAACACCTCTGTTACGTTCCAGCGACTTTTCGATTCTTCCTGAATTTATTAATCGCGGAACCTCCGTGGAGAATCAAACGAGGGAATTATACTTCGTTGAGTTTTCGCCGATTAAAAAAAAAAAAATCAGGCGCAAAACGTGAAACGAAAAGTGTCGGTGTCGTCGATGCCGTGATATCCGCGGCCGTCGTCGAAACACGAGAGAGAGAGAGAGACAAGCGCGAGGTGCGCGAGGTGTGTTTCGACTCCATTCCACTCCATCGAGAATCGACAGTTGTCGAATCGGTTATTAGAGGCGTCGCGGCCACGCGCGCCCACCTGTACGTGCCAAATGGCCCGAATTGATCTTAACGTCTCTCCCAGCGCGGCCCGAGGGCGCGAGCCTTAGCATTCCGATAATTGCATGTCGTGTGCGTGGGCACGGGGTTAAACCTCGCGCACACAAGCCGTCACTCGATGGAACGACGTTGCCTCGACGTGGGCGAGAATCAATTCCACCGCTGGAACACGAAGTCCCGTTGATTTGATCGCAATTAAATCGAGGCGGACGCAATTGCAACTACGGCGCCGAACATGGAGACGAGCGGCCTTAAATTTAACGTTACAACGGAACCGATACTACGACACAGCGCGAATAGTTCCGCAGGGAACTTTTAATTTTTAAAAATTCCAAACTGAAAATTGTTCCGGATATTCATTTAATTATAAGGAACAACGGTTTTAATGCTGCGTCTACTTTCAAAAAAGTTTTTTAAATTTAACGATGTGTTAAAGTAAAATAAATACTCGGGAAAGTTGATTATAGCTTACATGCCAGAGATAAGTAAAATAAATGAAAAAAAGAAATGAAATTGCAAAGCAGTTAGTTTGAGAGCCTTTCTGTTTGAGTTTGATCAAAATGATGTCATATGTAATGCTGTTATAATTGGAGATGCCAATCGACGTCATTCGGCGTCCTTTGCGGGCTCAAGAACCCACTGACCAGAATTATATTCACAGTTAGGAAACACTTGGCAACGCGCGTGCCCAATCGTTATTAGTGTTTTAAGTGCCGATTATTTATAACATCGGAATCGTAACTGCTTCGACCCGATGTAGAAATCGATATACAACTCGATTAAGTCTTTCGAAGCTTCATTGGAATATGCGATACGTAAGGAAAAGAATTGTGACGAAAACGACAAAAATAAATCATCCATTTGCATCGAAAAAATTTTTAAAGTTATTATTAATATCTCCATTATTATATTTCATCATTACACGGTACATTTTCGGATTTTTAATATTATTTCATTTATGTTATTTTTTTTAGCGATGATTAGACGTCTCGCTAAATTCTTCATGATAAATAGATGTCAGGAGGAGGCTCTGCTGTGATACGAAAGAGAATTTAGTAAGTTGGTAATTATTTTTGTTAATTTTTGTTAAATAATAACCAATGTAAAATCCGTGTAATTTTACAAATATCCCGCACAGCTTTGGAGGACTCTGTGAAGCTTTCGGGTATTAACTGTGACCTAGAGATATCTGGCAGACTGAAGGACTTCATGGTGTAATCAGCGAAGAGCCTATTTGAGCAGTAGCCGGTTACGTAATACCACATATTTGCAACGTGTTCTCTTCGCAGCTGCTGGTCCGTCAGGTAATCCGGATTAAGCCGCAATTTAAATCGGTCCGTACCGAGACCGGACCGAGGTTAGATTTAGTTTAAAACTCTCCGGCATTATGTGTCGCGCTTATAATGGACGTGAGTACAGTAGAGAAATTTGCCCAATTTAACCGAATAAAAATATTTTGCACAATAACGTCTATTGTATCAATCAACATGCATGTTTTACAAAAGTTTTTACAAAAATTTACATTCTTGCTTAAATTCTATTATGGATTCAGACCAATATAAAACATTGTGAAAAATAACTTCTCTTTACGCCCAAGATTTTCCATGTAAATATGTACATACATTTTTCCGATATTGAATTTGAATTTCAGATTCACGTATCTAAACCAAATATTCTTGAAACATAAAATACGTAGAACATATGCGTGTGTATATGTGTTTGTGTGTGTGTGTGTGTGTGTGTGTGTGTGTTGTGCGTATGTAACCACGTAGAATATTTTTGTCCGTCTACATTGAGCAAATTTCCCCATTGCGATGCACGAAGAGAAGCGCGAAAGAGAATCGCGGAATTTAAAACGCCCTGCGAGGCTTTTACTTGTCTTACTATTCCGCAATAAGAGAAGACCCCTTTGCATCTTTACGTCAGCGAAGTCGGCGAACTCGGAAAATGTATATTTCCCGCGCAATATTCCACGGGAAAAATACACTCGACGTTTGTACAGCATAGATCGTATGTGATAGAAATGATATGATACGGGCTATATTTTTTTATTATTTCATGCGATAGACCCGCCGACTCTGCCCGAGCAATACGCGTGATCGGCCATTTCACGAACCGCTTTCGAAAGCACGGTCGTATTTTTCTATTGCGAGTTTCTGCTGCGAGTTCCGTAAAACTTCAATTTCACGCGTCAAATATCCGCGAGCGTAATTCATAGATATCACATATAATCTCAATATAATTTTACATTAGAAAAAAAAAAGGTCAATTTTTGTTTGCGTGCAAACGACGCGGAATATTCAACAAAATTTAACCAACGAAAAAGAACATTATAAGATCCAATTCTGCTGAGCAATGCCATCTATTATCTTATTGCTTGAAACTTATCTCGACTTATTATATTATTTGTTAATTATTTTGCTTTATAATTAAAAATCTTAATATTAAATTTTATCGTTCCAAATAAGTAAGTTCTAATTAAACTACGTTCAATTTTGTGACTTTTCTTCGCAGAATATTTCTACCTCCGGCATCTTTGCCAGTATATACGATCTAACAATATGACGCAAAATGTCCTATGTACGATTTAAGCTCTAATGGGATCCCATCGGGTAGCCTCGGGGTGTTTAAGTATTCAACGAAAGCTCCGAGGGTTGAAAGTTACGGAGAGATAAAAGTGATAAGAAAGTTTTGGCACACTTACCGTTCGGTACCGTCGGCGGTTTTTTCGTCTGTACCCTCGCAGTTGCGTTGTTCACCTGTCAAGTTAGAAGAAGCACGCATTAGAACGAAAACTTTTTTCTCAATCAACAAGAAATTTCCAGCTAACATCGCCCATTCACAGGATCCGCGCGTGGCCACTTTGTATATCGCGAGGCATTCAAGGTGGATCTCTCTCGCTATGCGCAAATTACTCTGCTTTCGCTTGAAAAAGTTGCAATTAGAGACAAATTAAATTCAAAGAATCCGGGGAATAATAACACCTCACAGTTTTTAATTAAAGTTAATCAACAGCAACGATAATAATTATTGCGGAGGAAATTGCTTTCATTAAAACAGGCGCAAACGTATTGTAATAATAATTATCCAAAGTATTAATGGGACAAACTGCGGTCGCGATGAAAAGCGATGCAATCATCGTAGAAAATGCACCTGAGTCGAATAAAATGTGAGAAACTTTGGGAAATTTCACGGGGTCGCGCGCGGATCCTGTAATCAAATATGCATTGTTCGATGCAGAAATCCGATTTGCAGGGGCGCAATTTGCGCCGCGGCTATGACTTTATTCATCGCGAAATTTCGGTTCAAAATACGATAATCACGCATACTTCTGCATCGAACAAGCGAATTATGAGTAATGTTTAATAAACGACCAAAAATGATGCGATTGCACGTTATTTTACGCTGATTGCTTTTCTTTAACGCGATCTGCTTTTGCAAATAAATGTGTTCACATGTAAAGTTCAGCATGTGAATTGTGATTATTGCTTCACGCTATATCAATTACACAAATCGTACGTTGTTGTATGTATACATACATAGATAAGTGTTTGAAACGTGCAAACGCTGTAAGTTTTCACTTGAATTCAGAAATTTTTTTCTATCATTCAATTTCAACTTTGATAATAAATCAATTTATTTCGGAAAAATTTTAGTAGAATTTAAAAAAAAAAAAAAAAAGAAAACGATTCAGAAAATTCTTATTCTTATCAAATTCACGTATCAATTAACATTATTTCAATGTACATCCAAATTCAAGGAATATTGCCTTAACGTTAGTGAACATACAATAATACATAAAAATTTCTTTTCGCGAAAGAAAAGAAATTTTGTGTTTTACGGTTTCTAACTTCCAAAATAAAGAAAATCTTATTAGAACGTGAGATAAATTTTAAGAAAACTTAAATAATTTATTTACATAAATATATTCAAATAATGACTGATTTCAATATATATATATATATATATATATGTAACAAATGTTTTTTTTGCATCAGATATATTTTAGAATTACAATTCTTCAATTTAAAATCTAGAACAGACGCGATATCACCTGCAATACATCGATTAAATTTGATATTGTAATTATTTCAGAAGTTAGAAATCGCAAGGGTCTTCGCGGTCGACGAATTTAACGCTCTGGTAACGTTCGACGATCCATTATCCAATAATGCTCGCATTATTCCACTTACGTTTATTTGTCGCTTTCTAATAAGCATTACAATGTTGTGCACGATTGGCGTATCGATCCGTGAGCTAAATATCGACAATAAAACGATTTTAGTCACCGTACCGCGTGCCGTAACTAATACAACGGCCACGTACAATGCACGCTTAAATAGCGTGCGAACAATTCTCGCGTTTAATCTCGTCGACCCGCAAAGAGAGCTTTTACATACGCGTCAATCATCGAGAGAGCAGAGGGGAGAAGCACAACGACGTGGTTAAATAAAAGTCGTACGTGTCGAAGAGCGCAATTAATTTGTTTTATTATGCGACATCTTACAGATGTCAGTTTCGCGGGACAGTTTAATGAAAGTAATAATAGGGGGAAAAAAAAAAAGAAGGAAAAAAAAAGTAAATCGATTGCTCTTTCATGTCCGTCGGTTTTTTCTCCCCTTTTTTCTCTCCTTTCCTCTCTTTGCCTTCTACCATAATCGTGAAAACAATGGCACAAGTCTTCCGTCGATTTCCGATTATTTCAATTTCGCTCAAGTACCTTCGCGTCTGGCAAGAAGGGACGAGTTCCCGGGTGGATCGCGACTTGTTTCGTCCTTTATCGAACGCTTCGCTTACCATGGGTTCTTCTGCTTTGCTTTTTTTTGCGCCACCAACTACCTACCTAACAACCGCCGCCCGCCTTCTCGTTTTCCTGTCCCACTTTGCGCCCACTTCAACCGGGGATACTATCGAGACACAAAGGGTCTGGCGGCGATATCGTGTCGTGCGGCATCGCGACGTCTCTGCATTTGAGGCGCAATACGAAAACGCATGTCGATTCAGCACAAACTCTCTCTCGACAGACAGAGGTCAGTTTGACGTCGAGTGTCGTCTTTGAATTTCTTGGAGGAACATTACATATTTGCTCTGAGAGTCGCTCCATCGAAAATGAATGAACTTTCGAATGTTGCGAATTAATTATCATAAAAGAAACACTAAGATAAATAAATTTGAATATGTGAAAATAGAAGTAGCCAGCCAGAATACAATGAAAATAAAGGTTGTAATTGTTATAATTCGTACCATCAATTAAATCACGTTTGTCATTCGCAAACTATTTTTACGTAAATCTAGTTTTATTCTTTAAATAATCTCGTGACTTTGTATCTTGCTGGATCTATCAAAATGAAATTTTCTCGCGATCGAGGCGAATAAAAATTATTTGCGCGCTCCATTCTCGAATTCGCGATGGCTGAAACGCATCTTGAGCGCAGCATCCGCGTATCGATTCTCACGAGGATTGTGAGTTACGAGACTTACTCGGGCCAATCACGCCCGGCGTATCGTCGAGCAATTTGCATTTTACGATCTGTTTCCAGTAACGAAGGTTTGCTGACCGCCGTACATCTCGACATCACACGGTAGAGCACGAGTAAATGAACGTTATTGGAAAATGAAGGCTGACGATAGAATCGTCAGAAAGAGAAAAATAATGATGCATTTCGTAACTGTAAAACATTAATTCGAATCTCGCGATTTACATCCAGATTTCGAGAAAATTTTGAACAAATTATTTGCGTGGCATTAAGTGATATCTTTTTATGATTTCGCATTGCTATAACAATCTGTAATTTTGGATCAACAATGTCATACAATATTTTACCAAAAATTTTTTTTTTATAGACGTCATGTCATCATTCACATTCAGAGTAACAAATTCCAAATTGATATAAAGATAATTATTAAATTATTTTATCATCAGAATTGTTAGAATGATTTCTTTCTAAAATCCATAACTAAAACTGAAAACATTTTCGGAAAATGCATCTAAGAGTTCTTCCTAATGTGTTCTATGACTTTTTTTTGGCTTTTGTCCGCGTCTAGTCACGGTGCGCGACGCTGCGGAATGTAACGTTGCAAAAATCGCGCGCGGCTGCACTTTAACGACAAACAAACGGACGAAGCGCGACCCGACGGATACGTTCAAATTGTATGAATCGAGCCACGTCGATAATAAACAAGCGTGTCGGCGCGTAAGCGCTACGCCTTGTTCTGACAAACAATTGCGGCACGTTGACGAATTTTTGTTTGCCGTGTCGCACGCTCGCGAATCAGTGTATCGCATTCAACCGGCGAATTCAGTCGACGGAAAGTACCGCGAACGATGTGCAGCCCCGGTCCCTCAATTGTTTTGCAAATTACACCCGTTGATATTAATGATACCAAGCTGACACCAACAGGCAATTTCAATTTTGGTCCGGTGTTATCGCCTGTGTGTTTCTCTATACAGAGAAACGCGCGTTTTGGTAAAATGTTGTACACACGATATTGTTGATCCAAAATCACAGATTGTTATATGCAATGCAAAATGACAGCATGATATCTCTGTCGAATAAATTTTTCCACGTTTTCTCGAAACCTAGATATAATAATCGTGAGATTTGAATTAATGTTTCATCGATCACAAAATGCATTTATTATTTTTATCAAGTTACTAGGTTTAGTAACACGAATTGTAGTCAATTTGCACGACTCAATCGAAGATAATAGATATAAGTAAAGATACATGTATAAGCGGAACCGAATAAAATTCAATGATCAAGATAAAAGTATGATGATCGATATCTATGGAGATATCATGTTCTCGCCCTTGGCGGATCTTATTGGTGTACACGAGGAAGGTTCTAAAGAGACAGTCACGGTCTTACGTGACTTTATTGATTCGGCAAGGAAAAAACATTATGGATGCAGGCCACTGAATAATATGCAAATGACAGGGTTACGACGAAAAAATGCATCGACGGCCTTGTTATAGGACTATCTATATAGCGTGAAGTACCGCCTAAAATTATACGTAAATCAATATTACAGACTTTTTCCCGATCAAAGTTATCATATTTCAAACGCCGCTTTACGTTTACGTTATGTGCGATTTTTATAAAAGATGACTGAGCGTTATGCAAACGTAATTAATATTAAATGTAGAATGACACAACTAATGAACTATAATATTATCTCAACATATAACAGTAATTATCATAATTAATTAAACTTACGTAACTTATGTAACTCGCGTTTGTAAAAATAGAAAATTTCTCGATAATAAAACGCAAGAACTGAGAAATTTATTCTTCAGATAAATATTTTCTCTTCAACAGTTTCCTAAATGGAAAAAGAAAAAGACAAATATTCCCTCTTGACAAATATTCTTCTCTATCAACTTAATGAAATACCATTTACTTCTACCCTGCATAATACCCTCGCGCAATGCAATTGGCTGCGGGCAGCAGACCGATGAAGAGAAAATGGCAGTAGTAATCAAGACCCGGGTACAAGGGACGATCGGCATTCGAAGGATTTAACAATCGACGCGATTCTCCCCGGCAATTCCTGTTCGGAGAATCCACGTTTCTCGAGCACTTATCTCATTTCTGGGGGGAGGGGGTCTTAAGGGATACGAGGGGGTGCATTCGATCCAGACTTAGGAGCTACCTTCGAGAACGGCCGGCGGCCGGCCGAATGAGCGAAATGGCAGCTTTGGAAATTTCGAGCAACCTCGCCGGCTTGTCTTCGACGAGCGGATATCTGCATAAATTTG